ATAGATCACCTATTCAACCTTTTTTAATCACTCCAATGTAATTGCATTAGCTCCGTTATCAAGCATTTTATGACGTTCCCCCGTGTTAATTTCCAACTGCAGACATGTATAATTGAAAATGGAAATGCATAGGGTGTGGCAGCCGACAAACATGTCGCCTTCTGCTGCGTCCACATAACAAGTGGCTTTGATTAAACTACAACACTGAGGATTAAAGTTTCCAGTTTAGCAGAATATTTCTACTATTAGGTCATGTATTTGTTTTATTTCATTTAATAAATAGGTTATTTGCAAGAGCATAGATGCATCAATAAAATAAAAATAAAATGATAAAAGCTCTGGTCAAATTTTGTACTGCAGGAGTGTAAAAGGGTTTTTAAATGATCTATCAACTGTTCTTCTTTTAAAGTGTTGGATGACTACACACCACAAAACTTCAATTACTCCATAAATAGAGATGTGCATCTTCCAGTGTCTGGCGAGCCCATTCATTTCAAAAACCAATTTTTCTAATCAAACGGTCAACAGATTCTGCCCAAATTATGAGACTGACGAGAGGAACAGACAGTGTAAACAAATATCTATTTAAAACAATCCTAGAAGGTTCCATACTGTTTAAATTACAATTTATATTTAAACAAAAATAGGTTTGTCCATTTTTAGGTTAGCTTTGTCCAGCATTAGGTTAGCTTAGCCACAAGGTTTTTTTCTTAAATAAAAAAAAACACTAAAGAATTATTCAAGATATATCCAGTGGACGATGGATTTTTCAATTTATTCAGAAATCCCAGGACTAGGAATTGTTTTTTCTCTATAGAATACATTTATCTTTGCACCTCTATTTCGTTCCACAAACGTGATTTTATTAAACTATTAAGTCTTCTTACTGCAATCAAGTGCATAAATGCCATTAATTTGATGCATGACCTGTTCTTTTTTCACTTCATAAATATTAAATAGCTCAAAAACACATGAATTAGGTGAGTACAGTTCAATATGCAGTGATCCTACACCTATTTTGAGTTCAGCATTTATGGATTTTGCCATCAGATTAGACTTTGGCTGAAAGACTCGAGACCCAAAGCTTTGAGATTTGGCTTGGAAATGACTCCAACGTGTCTAAAAGAAGCCGAAAAATAAACGACTTATTACTGCAAGTCTGAATATGAAGTCCTTCTCTAAGAAAAATAAAAGACCCACATTCCTTCTGCCAACTTTTAATGTTCAAAGAAACTTTAAACTTCTTCCTTTTTCTCACCGTTGGAAACCTTACTGGTCACATTCTAATTATAAGCCCATTTTTAAAAAGGCGCCAAACTTATTAAATGTATTTTTACTTTCTGGGCACCTGGAAGAACAAGCAGAACCGAACCATCTTCTCTTGCTTCTTTTCACCCTTTAATTTCACACTTATTTTCTTCCAGCTGTTTTAGCAGATTTTAGCAGGTAGTGTTCCAACTGTTATTTGATCATTTTATACCAGATCTTTCTCTCATAATGAGGATTTCACAAACCAATACATCCTGACTTTAATTAACATGCATTTGTGTGTAGCTATAGAAACAGAATCATTTCTAACTTGATCACTGCAACAAATGCAGCATGTTTTGGGATATTAACATGAAAACCAATTTTTAAAACAAGTTTCAAAAGGACAAAGATTACACTTTTCTATTTTATCGAAGAAAAACACTTGCTTGCTTCATCCAAACAGATGTTTCCAACCATCTAATCAATGTGTAGAAATGAAAAGCATCCCTCGCCAGTAAAGAGCAACAACAAGGCTTTTTAATCAACGTTAAGAGCTTATATCTGGCAAGGCAACGATCAGAAATTGTTTCTGCAGATCTATATTTTTTCATATGTAGGAAGAATAAAACATGCCATTCCTAAGAGAAAATAAAAGGAATCAAAAGCTTATTCCCTTTTATGAATCAAAACATTGCATCAGCTGTTTCATGATGCAGTTATGGACTCCAAATGGGAATTCTTTGTTTTAAAACATTTAATTAGAGCTGAGTCCTATTTTGAATCGCAATATCAATGTATGCAATGGACTGTTTGGATGCAGTAATTGGCAGCAAAGCATATTTTACGTGTCCTGTATTCACGCTCTGCATATCAATGATGCGTTCTGCCAACCGTCCTTAATGGCTGAGATCAAAGAGTCTGGAGGGGACATGGTAAGGAAGGAAAAGTCAGGAAAATGTGGGTTAATCAAAGTTAATATTGCATTATTTTCTTGAAGTCACGTAGCCCTATTTCTAATGCACAGGGGAAAAAAACTTACTTTACTATTGTGATCACTAATCAGACTCTGGTAAAAGAATTTTACCGAATTGATGAAATAATAAAATGAGGTCAAATGTCACTTGGCACATTGAAATGATGACATCTGCAGGATGTGGCATTAAATTTTATGTTTCTAAAATATTTCTGAACACTCTAGAAACCATTCTGTGTTCTAATAAGTTATGCATGTCATGATTTCTTTTATGTATAAATAGGCCAGATTTGTGTAATTCAGATTATGCAGTTTCCCGTCGGCAACAATTGTTTCAGAGTATAAAACCTACATTTTCACTAAGATAACCAACAGAATATAATAATTGATTCATATCTTGTGTTAGGGAGGTCCAAAGGTTGAAATCCATGCACTTATTTTGCAGGAAACAAATTGGGATTTAACTGGTTAATAATGATCTGTAAATGCATTACCTTCATGAATTAAATAAATGATTTAAATGTAAGTATCCATTGAAACAAACATTTCTAGAGCTACCAGAAGTTCTCCATTTTGATCACAGTGGCATAAAGAAAATCTGCAACTGTGGAAAATAATTTAGCATTGAAAGCAAAGCTGTGATAAGCAGAGTAGAGGTAAAATGCCTTACATATATCAACCTATTATAAAAATAGTAATATTGTTAAATTAGAACAGCTGCTTCCTTATATAATTAGCAAGAGAGCGCTTGTATAAATGTACCTAAAAATTAATGTAATCAACAAAATGGACAACGGTTTGTAGAGGGAGTAACATTAGCTAATGAGACTATAATGACTTGTGGGAAAAGTGTGAAAATGTACATTATTGGACTAATTATTGTAATTTATGTTTGCATATATTACACATGTAGCACTCCTAATAAAGGATCCAACTCAGTTAAAAACGTTAATATTACAGATATTTCTTTTATGCCTCCTATATTCCACACGTTAATTTTACCGTTAGGATCTCATTTTCACTTGAAACCAGACAGTTCTGGATCATTTCTCCACTGTTCTGGTAAAAGTTTGAAAGAGGACCTGAAGATTCTCCACTGTTTGAAACTGATGTTGCTTAAAGCAAAACCAACAGCAGGTATCTGTAAAATTAAATCCAAAAGGCACTACTGCTTTAAACACCTCAATTTCTCAGCTGCATCACCAGCGATCATTAATAAGAGATCGCTGTACGCGACCGCTGCTTTAGCTAGGCTACCAAAGCAGTGTTAGATTAGCTCATTTAAACGCCTGCTCCACTGATGATCTGTCACTGGTGTGTTGATCATCTCTCTATATTTTGTAACTGAACCAAAAAACACCAAATTCCACACCACATCTACATGTTAAGGTTATCATCTTCCTGGCTAAATTTCTTGTTAAGAAAACTTTTCCTGACCTTATTATCTGGTTGTAAAGTTGACAATCAGTAGCAAAGCACTTCATGCCTTTTTCTTTTATTGCAGTTGTCCATTTAAGATTTAGTGCATGTAATAAGAGCTTAGCTAACACCAGTGGTAATCATCATTAGAGAGCAGCTTTTTGCTCTCCAGCAGGAAGACGCGTGACGTCAGGCTGAAACGGGTCCATATAAAAGACCAGATTCCTTTTAACACCCAGGGCTAGAAGACTGTCAGATTCAGAAAAAGCATGCGAGACACCATGACCAACCCAAAAAGATAAAAATCTGTTCCACTTTCATCCACAGCCTGAACAAAAGCCACCTCACTTCCTGGAGTCCAAAACTGAACTTTTCCAGGGAGTTTAAAGATGTGTGATCGCTGCGTACCTGAACATGTCTCCTTTCTTTAAAACTTGAAGAGCCTCTCTGCAGAGTTGACTTTGCCATCTGTTTTTTTTTTATTTTTTATTTTTAAAGAGAAGCCATGTTGCTTGGAAGCGACAGTATCATTCCAGTTCATGGGTTCTCAGAGAAACCCAGATATTTACTCTCCATTTGACTCTAAACTGCAAACATTCATTGTTACAAGTTGGACAGGAAAATCTTTTGAAGGTCAGCATGTTACATCAAACTGATGCAGAAAAAAAAAACTGAACTATTCAAAAATCTGCTAGCCTTGAGTACATTCCCCAACTTTTTCCTTTTTTTTTTTGTTTTCACCTTCTTTCCACCTTACCCTGAGGCAGTTGCTGAGTTTGGTAGAAAGAAGGACAGACAAGCATTTTGCCAGGAGCACAGAATCGCTAGATTTAAGTCTGTAACTGCTCGACTCCTCTAGAGAATGACAATCACAAGGAAACAAAGACGGCGTGATGGTTTGACTGACAGCCTTTTATGTCTGTTCACTACAAGGTCAGATGTACCCCAAATAGAAAATGCATGCGAGTGATCCCGAGTTTCTTCAAAGGATGTCCTTCGTTCGGCTTGAATGTTGTATGTTTTGTTAAGATGGAGAGTGTGACTTGTGAGTGGCAGCGAGGAGAACCAATCTAAAGTGTCGACATCAAACAAGAAGCCAAGCGGCATCAGAGTCCAATAATCTAAATATAATTTCGTGACTGCCACGACGTCAACTTCAACCTTGTCTCATAAATGTCATAAGGAGAGAATGTTCCGAGGTTAATTTCATCATATTATCAAGAGAATAAGGCAATTACCAACAAATGACAAAAAAGGGCAATTGAGAAGCAATTCTGCGGATAACTGACCGCGATATGTCCTCTCGGCAGGTGGCTATTCATAATACAGCAGGTGATTCATATGAATTATTTCCTACCTGTCATTCACTTTGCTCTGCAGCCAGAGTAATTGTAGTCCTGGAGATCTCACTTTGGCACCTACAGCGGGAGACTTGGCTGACCTTCCTGGGTGATTCTTTCCAAGCAATTATCTGCAGACATTTTGGGAAAGAAAAGAGCGTAAATATTCCATAAGGAACCGCAAAACAAATATTCTTCAATACAACAGGCTTGTAAAAGCAACAGGAAGGCGAGCGTGGTTATAGTCGGGATTATTGGGGGGAAAGAAGGTTAGAATCCCCCCTGTAAAGACAACAGGTGATGAAGGGAGTCAATTTTGAAGTATTTCATTTTACCAACAATAAATTATGCACAGAGGACTATAAAATCGACATAACTGGATCTAAACTTTACCGCTATTCAACATTTAATTACTTTTGACCATGAATTGAAGCTTCAAGTTGAAACCCAACATTAATATTCATGCTAAAGGGTCAAGTAGCAACAAACGGGACACTGGATTTTCTTCAGGTCTGCTGCAGTTTGGTGCCGGCGGTTCGTTGTTTTACAGGTCATGCTGATAAATTAAAACAAGCTCAATAATTTCCATTTCTATAATTTATTGTTTCTCATTCTTCTGGATGACTAAAGTCTTCATTTTTTTGGTTTCAACTACACCTTTTTTACAAAGACTTCATCATTTATTTGCTTAGTTTGGTTATTTAAAATGTTTTCCTGTTCCCACGTTAAATCTTCTTGTAATATTATGTCATTACCGTTATATTACTTTAAAATTGTGTCAAAACAACAATATTATTATATATCACAATAACTTCTGGAATAATTTATCATCTAGCTCCAGAATATTTTGTTGGTGACACCTCAATGCAAACGCTAATTGTGGAATAAATTAGATTTATTTGACATAAATTCAAGAAAAATGCAGAAGAAGAAAGAGGCACAGCTGAAACTGTGTGTTTGAACAATTTGCACGTTCAATGTCTGATAACTAATTTCAAGAAACATTTTGCTTTATGACACGTTGTACTACAGACCCAGGATTATTCTTTTTGTAAAATATCACCTAACAGCCAATTACTTGTAGCACTAACTTCCACACGCTGCTTCCACCTGATAAAATTGTGCAGTTCCTCTGGCATTATACTTCTCGTGATCCCCTGGCCCCCAAGAAGCGCAAGGACACATCAATCTGCTTTTATTCTGAGTGTTGCTGTTCCTCGTTCTGGTATTTCCCTGCATATGCTTATTCAATATCCAGGCGATAAAAACCAGCAACACCTCAATTTGCCTTGGAACGTTTAATCTCCAAAAGAAAACACGTCCACACAAAGCAGCGAGAAGCTAAGTAACGGCGCAGGGTCATTTGGCTCCAATGAAGTATTGGTAATAATGGGTTTCCATGGAGACTAATATGCTCTTTGCTGAAGACAGAGTGGCGTTCGGGTGGGACTGGAGGGAGCTGTGGGGCACCAAGATAAGTTCGCACAAAGAGACACGATGTCAACACACCTGTAATTAACATGTAGCGTTAAACTCACAGCGAGCTGCGTTGGGAATATTTCCCAATAAGAAAAGCGCTCTTTGAACTAAAGCAAGGAACAAATTCAACATGGTTGATGTTTGAGAAATAACCAACAAACATTTGTTCATAAAATTAAAGCTTCCTGCAGTGTTTGCCTTTTTCACACAAAAACATGTTAAGTGTTATGATGGCCTGGTGCACCACCCTTATTAAAAACCCACTTTCCTTCTGTTTTGGATTCTAAGGGAGCCAGTTTATTGCTAATTTTACAGAAAAAAAGCCCCTGGATCGTTCATTGGCTCTGCCCAGTAAATCCAAGCACCTGCTGTTTTGCATAATTTAAAAATTTAAAGAGCTCATAAAGAGATTTTTTGTTTCTTTTCTTTCCTTTAGTGCAGTATTTAAGTTTTGGGCATGCAAAAGTTTTCAATGTTACACAGCCTCTAGTTCCTACTAAAGGGCTTTATTCCCCTCCACAGAACACAGACCTCCTGAACAGCCTCATGCATCTTGTTTCTAGTTTTTAATAGTCGCCATGTCACTAACAATTAAACGACTGAATTATAGCTGGGACAAGAAAACTACACCAGTAAAGACTGCCGAATGATTAGAGGCTTCCAAAAGTGTTCACACCTCTTAATTTTGGATTTCAGGGAAGCAGATGGATGATTTTTGAAAAATATTTAAAATAATAAACCTGAACAATGTGGAATGCCTTTGTATTTAGCCTTATTTAGCATTAACGGGGGGAAAAAACTGCTGAAAACCAAAATGAGTAAACCTCTAATTGAAAATGACCAAATTACAGCCAATCCCTGTTAAGTGACTCTTTATTGTTACATGGTGTCACTTGTGAACCGGGATCAAATATATATATATATATATAGCATGGCAGAGGTTACACCGGGCAGAATAATTTTCACAGCAGAATCAGAATTTACAGCACAAAACATGATTCTACATATAAAATTTGGATGTTTCCCTTTAATCCGGCATTTCTGAATCCTGACCTCCCACACTGCATATTTTGCATGTTTCTCCTCTCCAGCAGACCTGATTCAAATGAATGGATCATTATCAGACTTCTGCAGAGCCTGATTAAAAGCCCAAGAGATGACCCATTTATTTGAATTAGGTGTGTCGAAGCAGGAAAACATGTAAAACATGCAGAGCAGGAAGGGGCTCAAGGACCACGGAGCACAAAACATTTTACTAATTAAAAGCTGAGAGATGGGACTTAAAATCAAGTTTTTGTGGTAAACAGTGAAACACAAAATTATGTTGGTGCCCAAATATTTTTACAGTTCACAAAAATTCACTTCTGTGCATATTATATTATGCAAAGAGTCTAGCAATGACTCTCAGGAAAAAAATAAATGTATTTATTTTGCTTATTTTTCTGAGTGCTTATCACTTGTTTTTTATTCTTTTGTTCGTGATTGAAACCAGGGATCTTAATGATTAATACATTGTAAAAGTATAATTGTTTAGTTGTTCAGGTTTTAGTTACTAGCCTAGTTTCAAATAAAGGAGCTGGAATACGTCAAACTTTGCCGGTCGGTTAGGGAAAAAGGATAACTGCCATCTGATTTTCTAAAAATGAATATGCAGGAAAAGCAGACAGCACTGAGGGAGGACAGAGCACAGAAAACAGAAGCGAGTGGCGCATTTCCGGTTTTTCAAAATAAAATAGATATATTTATTGCACAGACTCAAAGTCCAAAATTTACATAAAAAAAGAAAACAAAACGGTAAGAGAATAACAAAAGTACATAAAAATGATAACATTGAAAGGGAAATGAAATACTTTAATGCATTTTTTAATTACATAACTCACATTACTGTCATAAACTACCTTGTGCTAACCCAGTTAGCCGCTGTGTTAGTTCTTTCCTCTTAATAACTGCTTGATAGCAAAGCAACATTTTCTTCTTTCATTCTATATTATAGTTAGTTAGACTTCATTGCACATAATTAGCTAACAAGCTTCTCTTTTTGTGAGGGAAATCAATGAATGTTTTGTCATGATTAGTTTGATCATTTTACTTTGGGTATCAAAGCATTTTAAATTTCATTCTAAATAATTTCAAACTGATCTTTACCTTTTTACTTCTCACTAAATATTTATTTGGAGCTGATCCATCCCACTTACAGATATTTTTGTTTTAAGAACACTTTGTCAAGATAAATGAAATACACAACATTGTCTAATTGACCAATTTTTCAGCACTCATCAGAACATTTTGTGGAAAATTAAGACTCATGAAGTTAACAGGACACTAGGATTTAAAACCTGGGAAAAAAACTACAACAACTTACCAATCTGAAGTACAACGCAAAGTAGGACTCATTATACAAACTGCAGATAGATTAGGAGTTGCTACTTTTAAATGCTGTCTTAGTTTGATGCATACCCCTAAAAAACAAAATAAGTAAAACTTCACAATGGAGACTGACCCATTTCTTCATGGCAGAAGTTTTCTTGAGTAAGATGAATTAGAAGGAGGTCGTTGAAATGAGAAAACCTCAAAGTCAGCAGAACTTTTTCACATTAAAGTTAAACAACTTTTTTTGGGTTAACAAACTGCAACATTGGTGTTTAAAGTTAATCAGTTTGGAACCAGAACAGATGAAAAAGGCTGAATATGGATCAACTACTATTCTATACTAATATTTGAAAAGGTTATTGTCTGTCAGAAGTTGTGATATTCTGTCTTAAAATCCTATTTAAACCTACATATGTTCTGAGTTTAGGAGTGTTGAATCTTACCATTTAGACTGTAAAAACCCTACACAGCTGCCAGGGAAACAGACACAAAGCCATTAAGAGCTGCTTAGAGGTGACCTTTAATTTGAAAAGCTGATGGGGGGATTTGGGAAGCTGTGAAATAGTCAACATCAATGCTTCAGAAATGTATTTATGCGGCTGGACCTGTAGGTCAACAGGGTTTGAAGAGCAACAGGAATGATTGTAAGGAAAACAGATGCTACACACAGCAATAAATGACGAAGCTGTGGAAAAACTCCCAGTGAGCCAACAAAACCACTGTCATTGGTTACAAGGTTAGACACCTACGTGCTCCTGAGGAGAGTATTGATGTGATCGGGTTGGGATTTTTGCTTATCACTACCATATCAAGTCACCTTGTTCTTTTATTTTTTTTCCTCTAATCAAATGTCAACAGCATTGCTATCTAACCCTGATATGAAGCCAATTAAAGCCTCGTCTCAATCCAGGTGGCTGTGGTCTGCATCCTAATGTGTCGTCACTTCAGCTGTTAGTGTCTCCAAGGATCGAGTCATCAGCTGAATAAGCTTCAAAAACAACAACATAACGCCCAGAGATGAAAATATGAGCATGCAGGGAGGTTTGGCGGTGAACCTGGCTGAGGTTTAGTACCGAGAGCCTCTGTTTTATCGCAGGGTTGAAGGGAGAGGGTGAAGCTATTGACACACAGAGGTACGGCTAAGCCACTTCACATCCCAATCGATCACAGGTCCACTCCACTACAAGTGGCATTCCCCTTCTAAACAGAGACTTTCCCGCCTGCCTGCGCTGGCTTTCAGAAGCCGGACACCTGGCTGGGTTCTGGTCCAACAGGAGCTTCA